GAAGCTGATTGCATGTGTCAGTGATTTAGAGTCGGACGTCTACCCTGCACTAAAGTATGCTTAGTTTCTACTTTGTGGCATTGTACATTTCACTCTTTCAACAGTGCAAAGGCAATGCCAATGCACATCCTCTGCATTGCTCCACTCATTCACCATTTTCAGTAGCTGATGAATCTCTTTCACAGCTAGTTCCTTAGTCTACCCTGTAAATGCAAAGGGTGCTTTACCTTACCAATGTATGATTGCCATCTAGTGGTAAATATGTAATAATAGCCAGTTCTCCAGTGATTAGTTACCCATGTCATTCCTAAAAATTGTCTTGATACACAAATCCTGCTAAGGAATTAAGAAACTTAGATGCAAACAAAATCAATTCTACTGTAAACAACTGATGGTAATGATCAGTGTGTGTATAGTATTATTTTGAAACAATACAGCCTTTGGGAGACTGGCCCTTTGTGACAAAAGTTTTTAAATGCCATCAGTTATATAGTCTGTATAATATTGGTCTAGTGCTTATAATTAAAAGTTTTCCATATACATTTTCTTTTGTGAGTTACAAATATGTTAGAAAATGCCAGTGTTCAAACTGTTTTAATAAAAAATAATCATTATCATTAAAGGAAAGAAAAATATGTGGCTAACATTTATTGAGAATAAACACCAACAAGTAACTAAGCTTGCACAGATACGTGAGAGTCTGGACAGGACTTGCTCCTATGTTGATTTTAGGTATTTTAGGTATTTTTGACTGTTTGGTTTTATGTTCCCCACTTTGCCCTATTACCTGTAAGCACCCATTCCTCTTTTGATCTAACTCCATGGCATCCAGATTTTACATTCACCCACCAGATTTTCTTAGTTTCCCAGCTGTTCCAAAATCTATTCTCCTTGCCAATTCCAACACATGAGGCTTAACATTATTTGCAAACATGTGTGCCTTAAGTACTGATGCTAGATTTTTATCCAACCGTTTTAAAGTACTTTTCAATATTTATCTACTATTATGACTTATACTAAAATGTCCCGAGTTGAATCACTTATGTTTTCCACACTTTTCAAATATAAATCTTATTTGGTCATTATATATTGCTTTTTTTAAACATATGACTGAATTCCATTTTCTACTTTTTCTTTAAAAGTTTTGCATCTATAATTGTGAAATGGGCCTATAGTTATGGGGGGACTGCATTTGTTCAGTTTAGAGTTATGTATTTACTATATTTTTAAAACCAATAAAATTTCCTTATTTTCCTTGTCTACAAAGAATTTCTTGAACCTTAAAATTAATTGATTTTTTAAAAAATAAAGTTTTAAAAACTCAACAAATAGAACTCTCAACATGGGAATGCAAGGTAGAACTTCCAGAACTGTTTTTTTTTTTTCCATTGTTATTAATCTATTCTGGGTTTACATTCCATTGATTCAGTGTTGGTAATGTTTACTTTTATAGAAATTATTATTTTATCAAAATTCCAAACATGTATATATACACATATACAAAATGTACCTATATTTTATCTCTGTGGCTTTAACTCCTCCCAAATCACTAAGGTTTATATTTCTGTTTCCTCACTTCTATTTTTCCAGTAGTTTTTTTGAGGTATCTACTTATATTATTATAGTTTCTTATTTTACCATTTTTTCTCAAAAAATCTTTTAGATTAATACATATTCACACTTTTTATTATAATTTAATTTCTATTTTCATTTATTAATTCTTTTGCTTTTCTACATTTTGTTGACCAGTAGTATTTTTTAATTTGAATATATAATTCATTTATTTTCTTTTTTTTTTTTTTTTTGGTGTGTGTTCAATACTAAAGCATTGAAAGCTATGAATTTTACTCTGACTACAGCTTTGGTTACATCTCATACATTTGGTAAGTATTGTGGTAGTGACTGTTTACCAACTAGGTAGTAACAGTTTACAGTCCCTCTGTGACTCAATATTCATTTATTTACTTTTTAATAATGAAGATTTTATTTTATTTTAGTTATTGATTTTCTTTTATTATTAAATCTTGTTTACAAATTACAGATTGTATAATTTCTATTCTGAAGGACTTATTTACACTAAATTTTTGGTGTAAGATTTATATGTTTAAAAAAAAACCAACAATAAATGATTTCAAAGAATCTATATTTTCTCTTCATAAAGTAAAAAGTTCAATATATACTACTAAATACACTTACTGGTTTAGTACTTCCTCTAGTTTCATTGTAATTTTGTTTACTTGACAGATGAAAAACTGAGATAATATTTGACTCTGATGACTATAGTTTTGTCAGAATCTTCCTATATTTACCAGATCTTTTGTTTTATATATTTCCACATTGTATTATCCAAATCCTCAAGTGAGAAGTCATCTTCTCATTTTATTTTTTCATCTGTCAATCCTTCTTTGCCTGATATTAATATTACTATGACTGTTGTTTTTATTGTTTATGCATTGAAGAGGTCTACTATGGCAAAAGAAATAGGACAACAAAGGCTAATTTGGGTAAGTCAGGGTATACCACTGTCATATCACATAGGATTGACCCCCAAAAGAAATTTGGGTTATGTCACTGTGGAAGAAGAGACACTGCACTGAATGTCTTAGTAATCAGGAAGACATCCAATTGGAAGTTACATAAGTTACAGTTCCTAGTTGCAGCTAGGAACTACAATTAAAAATTAAATAAAGAAAATGTACAAGTTTCTTATCCTATGTGAAGAGCACAGGCATCAGGTATGTGTCAGTATATAGTGTGTCCACTCTGAGCCTCTTCCAAGGGAGCAGAATCAAGCTGATCACACAGATGGGCTCTGAGAAAGACTATAATTGCATTCACTAGTCAAAGATCCAACTAAATATTGAAGTACCCTATTTGAATCAAATTTATTTTGTGCTTAATTTTTTTAATTATAGATGGGTATATAGAGAAATAGAAAAAATACTACCTTCAACAATAAACTATTTTTTTACTGATCAAATTACCCAAACCATAATAAAAATCAAATGTCACAAATCTGAATTTCAAAAGGTATAAATTTCAACAAATTTTAAAACATATACATTATATATGTATATATACTATATACATATATTATACATATATTATGTGCATATGGCCTTCAGTGTTGATTCGCATTATAAAATTTTTTGAGGCTTCAAATACAAACTTTTTATGAATTGATTTCTATCCCAAATATAAAAGAGATTGTTTTCTTGTTGTTTCTAATAATCACTTATTATTTTTCATTAATTCTACAAAAAGAACATTTGCTATTCACTCTCTCTCACTTAAAAACATTTAAGGTTAAATGTATTTGTTTCTCATTATTTTTACCCTATGCACTAGGAAAAAAAAAATAGTATAGCTGCATTTTACTACAATTCTGCCAAAGAAAGTACTGAATGTAAATTCATATTATGAGTGAATAATGATGTATTTCACCTCATTTTAATTTCAGTAATTGAGTGGGAAAACAGGAAGATCTATTAAAAGGACCTTGTGCTGGTCAAGCACTAATGAGAAAATCTCTGAATCACTGGCTGCCATGGTAACAGGGTATTATGGAAATCTGGTTAGCATGCCCAGCAGCTACAAAAGTGATAGACTATACTACTAATTGCGTTGTCTCTGCTAGCAAGACGGGCTTTATGTTCCTAAGGGGTGAGGAGTGGCGTGAATCTGTTTATCTATATACCAGATATGAAATGTTTAAAAATTAGGTTCACACACCTAGTACCAAAAATAAATTACACTTTGAGGAGCATTTCAAAAATTAAAATAAATCAGCTCACTTTTCTCAGTAACTCACAAATTTCTGAACAATTTAGTTTATTTTTATTTCAATCTAATTTCACTGGCATTTGATAAGACAAAGTTTAAAAAGAAAGGGAATTTTGGGAAAACATGAAAATAAATCAATAGAGTCCTCCTAAGAACAAAATTTCCCAATGGAATGATTTAGAAATTGTACCAAGAACTGAGTCTCCAAGAGTACCTACATCAGAGAGTGTTAGAGCCAGATGCAAGAGCATTTACAAATGTTAAATGTAACGATGAACAAGAGAATACAATCAGGATTGGGGGTAGGAGTTGCCCCCAGGAACAAGTGTGGGCAGAGCTTTCTGCCACTAGAAGTAACATTATCTATGTGTTTAACAATGTCTTTACTTCTGTGCCCTTGGCCTCTGGGTACCAAAATATAGTGAATTCTGCAATTACAGGGTTCGATGCTTTTACTTTTGCTTTGTTCTCTTTAATATCTTGAGTGTCATTAAATTTTTTAAAGAAATTGATCACGGCCTTCTGATTCTTTTTGGTAGATAACTTAATTCTAAGAGGAAAACCTGCAAGATTAACAGAAGCAAAGTAAACACTGGCATGTATTCTTGACTAGAAATCCATGGGCCTTGTCAGAGTTTGTGTGTGCAAGGAACATTAATAGTGCTTGCCTGGGATACTTACTACTTTTGTTAAATGTGTTCCAAATGTTCCAAATATCAAAAGCAGTCAATCTAAAGTCAATATAATGAAAGCCAAAAAAAGCATTTATCTACATGTCTCCAAAGTCAGTGGAGGGTTTGGGGTTCCAGAGAGAAAAGTGTCATCAAAGTCAGCAAAGTATTATACAAGATGACGAAGTCCTAGAGATCTATTATATAACATACAGTCAATAATATTGTATTGTATACTTAAAAATTTCTAAGAGGGTAGTTGTTATATTAAGTATTTTATAATAAATAATAATAATAATGTGGGTGGGAGGAAACTTTTGGGGATGATAGGTATGTTTATGGCATAGATTGTCGTGGTGGTTTAAGGATGTATACTTATCTTCAAACTTACCAAGTTTCATGCATTAACTTTGCACAATTTTTTGTATGTCATTCATACTTCAATAAAGTGGTTAAAAAAAAAAAAAGCCAGTAGAGTGACAAAACAGAGTAAATAAGTGTATTCCTAGAAAGAGTAGGTAGGTTCAGGGAGTTGTGTGTACTGACCTGGGATGGAAGCAGCAGTTGGAAAGCCAGTCGGTGTGGCCAAATCCTGTGAGAAGCACGTTGCCTTTGGGGAGCCCCACCAACTTCCAGAGGCGGTCCTCCCCACAGGTGACTAGGATGTCTTTGCGGGGGTGCATGATGATGCTGCAGAGGGAGAGACAAGAAAAGAGCGTTATGGGGAGATAAGAGCAAATGGTTCCACATTTTGAATAAATGAAATGACAGTGGTTATCCCGTCTCAGCAAGGCAGGACCGCTCGCAGTGTTGGCTCGGGAATCAGAAGAGCTATGTCCTGGCTATAGCTCTAATGCTTACAGGTTTCTGATCACCATCAATCCAACAAACGTCACTGGATCTCAGATTCCTCATTTGCAAAATAAGATGATTGGTTTAGGTGAATATCTTAATCCTGACTTGAAAACAATAATTCTGATTTTCTTTTTACAGAGGAAAATTTATGTCAATGATAATTTGGTGTTAGGATATTTGGACCAGTAGCCATGCTTATTATAGAAAATCAAGATTCTTTCCAGACTACAGTGTATCTTAAATCAGGCATTATCCAGGAAAAGATCATGAATCATAACCACATTATTATAGCTCTATAACAAATACTATAAATGAAACATTAACTCCATGGCCCACTATCTACACAAAGTGAAGAAGCTCAAATTCTAAGCTAATACGCCACTTAAATTGGCTTCAGTCAATGCACAGTACACAAATTACGGTAATGAATTCAGGATGCACAGGGCAATTCCCACTCTATAAAGGCATAGAGGGAAATGAGAAAGAAGTATGTAAAATTAATGATAACACATTAAGCAGTGTTATTTGAACTGGGCTATGATCATTGTGGCTATTTCAATATTGGAGTTAAACCATTCTAAAATCAAGAGTCTACAAGGTTAATGCCTGATATTTTATCTATGGCAATGCTTTAATCTTATTTATATAGAGTTTCATCTATGTTTTACAATGTATTAGGAACAAATGTGCCCAATGTTAAGCATCTATTAAAATACCAACCTATATATTACCAACAAATTGTTCAATTTCAACATAGCCATCTCATATCAAAGACATAATGCATTTACTTGCTTGCCTATATAGTGAAGTAAAACAAATAATGACTTAAAAAATAAAAATTACACATTTTTCCTGCTGTCCATTCTATGAATGGCCTTGTTCCTTTCTTCTGCAATACAGAATTTAGGAAATCAATTTCCCAATGACATCATGGTCTCCTCAGTCCACACCTACATCGTTAACTCCAGGGCTTACATGAGAGCAAAACTTTCCTCATTATGGATCCCTTCCAGTAATACCATTAAATCCCAAAATTTAGGGCTGCAAAATTATGTCCTTGCATTAGACCTCTACAGTTTTGGAAATCTGCTGGGGTCAGTCACTGTTGGAAATACTCAATTTACAGGCATGTAATCACTACAAGCAGGACCTTCTTTCTAGTGAAATACTGCTTCATTTTTCCCTAGCATTCCGCTGCTCAAAATAAACACAAAAGGGAAATTAGTCATTTTGCAATTCATCACAATGTTGGTTTGTGACTTTCAGAAGGCCAATTCAGGAAAGGAACTTATTACAGCTCAAATGTGGTTCAGGATACATTTATAGAACTTAATTAGAAGAAAAATATGATGAGAGGTAAAAAATGTCAGATTGAAATGAATTCTATATTCAAACACACATAAGAAGGCAAACCAAATCCTTGAAGCTACTGAGTATGATATATGTTGACTCGAAGCTTTCCTGGCAGACACGTGCACACTTGACTATATGATAAATTACCCTCTTTAAGTAAGATAAGTAAAATCATTGATGTCTTTACGGACTTTGAAAGATAAGTTTCCAAAATGACTTTTGTGAGGGGAGTTATTTGTAGAAGTTAAGGAAAAAATATAAACACAACCTCATTGGTAGTTAATCAGTTTTGAGTGTTTTTCAGTTTTGAAAGTGTTTTTCCAGACTCCTTCTGATCCCTTCTACTTTGGGGCCTCCTCCAAACCACCTGTAACGTTTACTTTCACTTTGTAAGGTCTGATCTTACTCATCACAGTCTCTGGTTTCTTTGCTCATATAAACCTTTTCTAACAATGATTTTTTTTTTAATCTCATATACAAATTAGTTTTCTTCTAATCATTCTGGACAAATTTTGATCAAGCACAGATATTCCATCTTTTAATGGAATTTTTTTACCTCATCCATGAAATGGTCTTTTTAAAAATATATATTTATTTATATGAGAGAGAGAGAGAGAGTACATAAGCGGAGGGAGGGGCAGATGGAGAGGGAAAGGGGAAGCAGACTCCATGCTGAGCACAGAGCCTAACACAGGGCTAGATCCCAGGACCCTGAGATCATGACCTGAGCCAAAACCAAGAGTCAATCACGTAACCAACCAAGCCACCCAGGAATTCCCATCAATGAAATGGTCTTTAAGTGAACAGAAATATACCCAGCATATATAGATGAGAATGTTTGCATAACAATCAATCAATACTTGTTATTGAATTAGTCACTGAATAAGTATATCAGCAAAGAGTGGGTCCTAGTAATAAAGACCCCCAATCAAGACTGGCAAATCACAACTCAGATCACTCTGTGTGGAAGATCAAGATTGGGAACACAAGTTAAGGGCCACAGACCAGAAATATTTCCAAGATACTTAAGTTCAGTGTTATTACCAACTCCACAGTGGGGCACTGGTGTCTGAAATCTTCCTCCTCTTCCTCTTCAGTTAACAGTAACGATATCTAGCACTGTTTGAAAACTGAATATGCACCAGAATTTGTACTAAGTGTTTACTTATCACATGTGGAATAAAAGCTCAGGAGGGCAGTGGGTTAAGCCTGTTTGTTTGTTGTGTACTTGCTGTATACTCAGGCCCAACAGTGGCTGGCACATGCGTAGCAATTATTCCATAAATGCTTGTCAAGTATCTGACTGAGTGACGGACGTTGGTGCTGTAGGTTTCGTTATTTTATGACTAAGTAAACAGAGGTTGAGATATTATATAAGTTGTTCAAGTTCACATTCAGTAATGGATGGAGGCTGACTTTGAACTTAGGATAGTCTCATGATTTGGGGGTTCATGATTTTAGCGACTTCTACTTAGTATTAGTCTTTCATAGTTTATTATTTATATGTTTGTATTTTAAACATCAACAATTCTTATTACAGAAATTGGTGATATTATCATTTCCCATGAATGGTTAAGTCATTTAGTTACTATTAACACTGAGTTAAAGAACACATCTAGGAACTGTCAGTGTATATATCAGAACTGGGTACACTTGACATGTGAATGTCTTAAAGGCTTTAGTGGACCCTACCATTTAAAACTAAAATGCTCTGGTGCTGTAGGGGAAATCAGGTGAGTAGCATTCTCTAACAGTCCTGTCTGCATTAGGCTTCTGTGCTGACGTATTATATGTTGCACTTAATAAGATCTTTATTAAATATCTTATTCTCTTGTGCTACTATTATGAGACTTGTACTTCAAGCTGTCAGAGGGCACTGAGTTTTTATTCACCTATTTTCATATTGCACTTTGTAAAGAAAAACATAGAAGGATATTTAGTAAGCATTGATTCCATTGGCTTTTAATTCATTGAGAATTTCCCCAGTATATTCAATTTTTATCATTCTGCTTATCTCTCAATCAGTCTTTTGAAGAAGTTGAACAACAGGAGAAATAATGAACACTTTATAGGAGTCAGTTCCTGATAACAAAATTACAAACACTAACTCATTTAATGGTCATAATGCCCCTAGGAGTTGGGTCTACAATTAATCCCATCTTGCAGATCAGGGAATGGCACACATACAGGTTAAGTGATCTGCTCAAGATCATGAAGCCAGGAAGTGGCAGAGTGAGGACATGAATATGAGCAGACTGTCTACAGAAGCCATGTCTCTCAGTAGAGTGAGCTCAGAACCTCAACTGCCTTTTCTTTCTTTTTTTTTATTTATGACAACAGGGGCAGAAACCAACCCTAATGTTGTCTTATTTCTGTCTAAAGGATTTATTGAAATGCACCTTGAAGTTTCTGTGGAACTGATTTTTTTCTTTGGTCACTTTTCTAATGATGTTTGAAAGGCTTTAATTACTGTCACTTGTTATTTTCTGGAAATTGGGCACTGGCTAGGTTCAGAGTGGTGGGGGATGAATGAAAGATGATTGAGAAAGATCTAAAGCAGAAGTTGGACAACTTTTTCTATAAAGGGCCAGATAGTAAATGTTTTAGGCTTATGAACCATATGGTCTCTGCCATAACTACTCGACTCTGCCATTGTAGAATGAAAGCAGCAATAAACAAAACATAAATGAAAAAGTAAGGCTGTGTTCCAATAAAACTTTATTTACAAAACCAGGTGGTGGGCCAGATTTGACTTTTGGGCCCTAGTTTGCCTACTCCTGATGTAAAGCCATTTGCATGGCATGAATGAAGTAGCCTAGTGTTTAAGAGTGTAGGCTCCAGAGTAAGATGTGAGTTTGAACTCTTGCTCCAGTGTTTATTTGCTAGGCATCCTCAGATAAGTCACTTCACTAGCCTTTTCCTCAGCTTCCTCATTTGAAAAATGGGAAGAATATAGTATTAACCTCATAGATTTTTCTGAGAATTAAATAAGTAAATACATGTACAGGACTTAGAACAGTGGTAGGCAAATAATGAACACTCAGTGAACACTATCACAGCATAGACAGAGTCCCTGAGGCCAGCGTGCCTAGATTTGAATATTGACCTACAAAGTCCTCAGTAGCTAATTACATTGTATAAACTCTCAGTCTCAGTTTCCATATTTGTGAAAAGGAGGGAATCATAAACCTCATTCACAGAGGTGTTGTGAGGATAAAATAAGCTGATATATGTAAAGTGGTTGAAACAATATCTGAACATGGTCGGCTCTCCATGAAAGTTAGCAATTATTATTCAACACTATTGCACTTCATTGTAACCCAGCCCTTCATGTAGCTAATTTCTATAAACCATAATGCTTCTTTAAAGAACATGGGTAGTTAATTTAGTACTTAAAATTGTAGATACTTAGAGAGAAATGATGTTTCCATGTGGCTTTGACAGACATTGGCCACTGCTGGGCTTTATTTGATGATAAATAA